TGGATCAACTCTACCAGCTCTCAACAACTCAGCAGCTAATCCTTCTGTGATAGACAGCTATTTTAATTTTCTAAGTGTGTCAAAAAAAAAATGGGAAGTAAAGCAAGTGTATAATGTTTCCAGACTGGAAACATTAATTAAATTAAATATTATTTAGCACAATGATCTCATCTCGGAACTAGAGAAATGAAACCTAGAAAGTTCAGTTTCCTTAAGGTCACACTGATAGCAAAATTTAATAACAGAAATAGAACTAGGATCTAAAACCACAAGTTCCTGACTTCTGGAACTGACTACAATTATACCAACATTGTTCTTAGAATGCCACATATGTAACTCCTGCCTTCCCAACAACACTGTAGGGTCTTTGCTAACAAGGTATAATACTCACTTGAATATCTCAAACTGTTAACAATTTAGGGATGTTTAAGGGACACTTAAGGAATTGGTAGAATGAAGTCTGTTATAAGAAAAGCAATGAAGGGCTGGAGAGATGGCTTAGCAGTTAAGAGCACTGGCTGCTCTTGCAGAGGTCATGAGTTCAATTCCCAGCAACCACATGGTGGCTCATAACCATCTATAATGAGATCTGGCGCCCTCTTCCGGCATGTGGGCATACATGAAGGCAGAATGTTGTATACATAATAAATAAATAAATAAACCTTTAAAAAAAGCAAAAGGATAGCTCAGATTTACTTACTGCACCTCAAAATTTACATAAATAGTATAAATACTTGTGTGTATCCATACATGTACATATGTAGAATGTAAAGGAAAGAACAAACGTACGTTGGGAGGAGGGGTGACCTGAGAGAATACCTTAGACAGACAACAGGACTATGGCCATAGGTAAGCCCATAAAGGTTCAAAGTGCTAACATTCAAACTACAAAAAAGTTTGAATACTACCTGTAGGTCAAATTCTTTTGTGTATGTGTGTGGAGCTCAGAGGTCTATGTTGGGTATCTTTCTCAATAATCCCCCAATTTCTCTGTTTAAAATGAGTATGGTGTTAAAGATATGAGCATGGGTGCACAGGCCAGAGGGGGATGCCACATGTTCTGATGTATTATTACTCTCTACCTTATTCCTTTGAGACAGGCTCTGTTAATAAATAAACTTAGACTGATACTAGCAGCCTGTAAGTCCTAGTTGTCCTGTCTCCATCCATTCACAGCAATGAAGTTATGGACGCACATATACCCATATGTTAAAAAAAAAAAGTTCTGTTTAGCTTTTTGATCTGGGTGTTGAAGTGAGGGTTTGAACTCAGGTCCTCAAACATTTCCTATCCATTGAGTAATCTCTCTAGTCCCTCCACCCAAAGTTTTGAGATAGGGTCTCTCAATGAGTCTAGAGCTTACTGATTCAGGCAGTCTAGCTGGCCAAGATGACCCTCAAGCACTAGGATTTCAGGTATATGAACACTGCACCTCGCTTTTTCTATGAAGATTCTGGAGATTGAACTCAGGTTTTTATGCTTAACTGAGCCATTCCTCAATCCTTCAAGCTCTTATTAGAAAAAACTATTCCACCCAGCACTCGGGAGGCAGAGGCAGGCGGATCTCTGTGAGTTCGAGGCCAGCCTGGTCTACAAGAGCTAGTTCCAGGACAGGAACCAAAAAGCTACGGAGAAACCCTGTCTCGAAAAGAAAAAAGAAAAAAACTATTCCAACCAAGTACTGCTCCTCACCCATCTGACACACACAATAGCTATGACTTCTGTTCTGGAAGTACAATAACCTTTTACCTTGAAGCTAACAAACTATTTTTCAGGATTTTTTTTTTTTTTTTTTGTAACTGTTCAAGCCTCTGGGACATTTCTAGTTGTTCTTCGTCCTGCTCAGGCACCTGAATGATGGTTTGCTTCTTCACATCCTCAGGCAGCACATTCTTCATAAGGTCTTCCCTGACTTTCTACTTAAAGAGTTCTTACTCTTTGGGTCTTTTACTCAAGTTTTATTTATCTATCTTCCATTTCTATACAGTAAGCGCAACAAAGATAAATGTTTTCCCTTCTATCAGCTTTTCTCATTTGTGTGGTTACTACCCCACTATCATATCAGCATGCTAGTTTAAAATACTCTTAGGAGCTAAGATCAGGTATTATATATCTAAATTTCTTCAATAAGGGTTTCCAGAATGCCTTACATAGAATACATACTCCTAAATCTAATCACACATTTTGAATGGGTATAAGATGGCAAAGAAAAAGGAATGTTCAACCTGTCAGTCATTCTAACAAGGTCCCGAGGCAGCAAACTCCTTTAGCCATCTTAGCTTTTTTTTTTCAGAATATAAAAATTTATTACTGTGATTCCACTCTCAAAATTTAGGATCTTGGTCTTCTTGCCTTTGTACAGGGCCAAAAGGGACACACTGGCTACTTTAACAACCTTAAAGCGGACTCCATGAACATCACCTACAGCATGACTCTTTTGACCAAATTCAGCAACCAGAACTTCATTGTTTTCCTCAATGAAGTTCAAGCAACCATCATTGGGCATAAAAGCTGTGATTTTCTTGCTGTTCTTGATGAGCTGCACCCTGACACACTTCCTGATAGCAGAATTTGGCTGTTTGGTTTCAACCCATACTTTTTCCAGCACAATTCCCTTGGCATGAGAGGCACCTCCAAAATGATTGGCCTTAAGGGCTGTGCCCAAGTGGGCTTTCTTCTATTGTTTATTCTGTCACTCCTGGTCCTGTCGGTGGCTGCAGAGCTTCCTGGTGGTGCAGAGACCACAACACACCCATCTTGATGGCACCAAGGGCCCGAGAGAAAACACCATCTTAACTTTAACAATATTTTCCTTTTTTCTTATAATTCCCCTGCCTTAAACTAACATCTTTTCCTAGGCCAGAACACTTATGTATTTCTCCGTCTCTTATTTCTTAGAGCAGTCCCAAATCAAAGTCTTTTATTCCTGTCAACCTGACAATTCTCCTCTTCTCAGTGTATTTGTTATTTACCCAATACATATGGCCTGATAGCACACGGGTATACACTTCAGGTACTTCATGGGCTAGTATCAGAGAATTCTCAAAGACACTATGAAAGAACTGTGGGCACAAATGGTGGGTAAAACTGATTTTATAAGACAGGCAATTTTTAAAAATCTGACAGAAAGATCTAGTATAAAACCACCTGAATCTTCATAACTTAATACCATTAGCTAATTTTTCCTATTATATACATGTAATTTATATATATAATTATCATATATAAAGTTTATAAATTGGAGAAACAGAAACTATAACTTCTTGTACACAGAACATGGTAGCTAAAAAACATGCCTAAGGATGAGTGTTGTGTCAGACACTTTTAATCTCAGCACTGAGGAAGCAGAGGCAGGTGGACTACTGTGAGTTCAAGGATAGCCTGGTCTCCAGTGAATTCCAGGCCAACCAGTGCTACATAGTGAGACCTATCTCAAAAAAAAAAAAAAAAAAAAAGTTCTATATTGCTTAAGCTCTGAAACATTCTGGTGGTGAAACAAGCTGTTATGAAACCACGAGAATACTTAACTTCCTACATTTTTGCTGTCTCATCAACAACAATGAAAAAACAATCTATCAAAGCCAAGTATATGGCTGTTTGAGCACCAAGGAGAAAATTACACGTGTTTAAACAAAGTTCCTGCCACATCATAAGCAAAGAATAAATGGCAGCTATCATTATAACGGTCATTAAGATATAATAAGGTGCATTATCTATTACTTTCAAGTGTTAAAATAACTATACTGCAATGTATTTTCATATTCTCTAATATATAAAATGATGAATAAAAACTGTATTACAGCAAGTTAGTTGACAGTATTATATAGTCAGTAAAAAATTTAAATGAAATTGTATTTATAGATATAAAAAATGCTTATAAGTTTTAATTGAAAAAACTCAACATTAAATGAGTTTGATTTTACTTAAATAGTAACAAAATTGAATAAAAATAAACTGTCTTCAATTTATTTTTCAAATGCAAGTAATATATTGAAAAAACCTACCAAAATATTGGCAAGAGCTATTTTTATTTTTTCTTTTCCTTTCTATATTTCCAATTTTTCCATATTGAACATGTACTACGGACATACATGAGATGAGACTAATATTTTCAAAGGTTTGTAAAGTTTGAATATGTTAATAATGTTTTCATATAGGGAAAAATGATCCCAATAAACCTAAAAAGGAAAGGAAAACTGAAACTTTGGGCTGGGTAGCTGAGTTGGCACAGCGCTTGCCCAGGGTACACAGAGTCCGAGTTTAATCCACAACACTGAATAAACCGGGTGTGTTAATACAGGCTTATATTCCTAGCACTTGGGAGTTAAAAGCAGGAGGATCAGAACTTTAAAGTTGTACTCTGATACATAGTAATTTTGAGGTTAGCTTGGACTACAAGAGATATCTCCACCACCATGAGATAACTCAGTGGGGACAGGTGCTTACTGCCAAGCTTGAGGATCTGGAGTTTAATTCTTGGGACTCACATGACAGAAGGAAAGACTAAACTCCTACAAGTTCTTCTCTGGCATGCACATGCACTCTGTAATGTGCCCCTCCACCACACGAATAAATAAACATGAAATACAAAAATGAGGAACTTTCAATAATCAACATACCGTGATAGTTCTAACTAAATTCCTTGTTATTCATCAGGTCAAAGTCATACTTTGCACATTAGTACAAGTAAACAGGAATTATTTTCTTTTTTGTTTTGTTTTTTTGAGACATGGTCTCACATTACACAGGCAGGCCTAAAACATATTTGGTCTCAAACCGTACACAGCCGATTCCTGATCCTCCTGCCTTCCCCTATCAAGCACTGGGATTATATAGGTATACACCATTAGACCTATCATGGAAATTTTCAAAATATCTAACTAAAACCCAAAATACTTTAAAAACCAGTCTGATCATTTGTAGTGTGTATATGTGTGTGTGTACACACAGTCACATAACGTCTGTGAAATAGTAAGTTAACAGAAATCTAATAGACTTACCCGCTCTGCAGCTGACTCATCTCCGGGCACACACACAGTAGCAGCACAAGCTATTTCCATCACGGAAGAGCTGGTAGGAGCATCAGTTGTGGATGAAGACCTGGGTCGACCTGACTGTATAACAGCAGCCACCTCTTGGCCAGATTTCCTGTTGATTTGGGGACTTCCCTTTGGGGCTTCTGACTTGCCCCGCCTACTATGCAAGCTTGTCCCTCTCTTCATCTTGGGTGGCACTCGAATCTGTTGCAGAACACGATTCAGAGCTGTGGGGTGGGTGGAGACACCATCAATCTCAGCACATGCGTTCTGACTGTCCAGATCCACTTCAGGCTCTGGATCTGTCTGAAGCTGCTGTACATCGTGTGGAGACACTGATGACCTCCTGCGCTGGTGCTGGAAGAGATGCTTCAAACCTTGGCCAATCACATTAATGTTCTCCAGAGCATTGTGGGTCATTTTAGATAACTTTTGTTCTGATTCTGTCTGCCTCCTGGCTTCTGCATCTTGGGATTTGCCTCCAGGATCAGGGTCCTCATATAACTGTTCACTGCCGGAAGGCTCCATTAGTAAGCTTAATAAGCTTATTTGCAAACTCAAAAAACTTTAAACACACCGAGACTGCCAAATTAGGTAGGCATTTGCTTCACCAGTGACTATGCATGCAGCTGTGAGATGGAGGCTTCATGCCTACCTAATGTTAAAAAAAAAAGAAAAAAAAAAAAAAACCTTGTATCATACATCCATGCAAAAATACAGAAACACTACAAAGAAACAAAGAAAACATGCAGCTAGCCAAACAAATAAGTTACTATCATTAAGCAATCTTTAATCGAAAGATTAAAAGATAATTTTTTTCAGATAATGGGTTATGGTATTTTCTAGAATAAAAAGCCCAAAACACAGGAAATGAAAATAGCAATGTTAGGGAAAAAAAAATCCTTTTACAAGTTTCAGTATATGAAGGATAGGACCATTTTGGAATAGACACCATAATAGCAGCTGGCAGGACAAGCAGCCATTGCTTAGAGAATCAAGAGAACTAGACCATTTAGTATGTTTAGTCTAGCGGAGGCAATTAAATTCTTTTTATTTATAGTCACAGTTAAGTATTTACATGCTGAAATTCAGCAAATTCAAATAACGCTGAGAGATAAATATTCTAACCTATGTAGATTTTTAATGAAAATTTGGAATCTTTTGCTACCATCCATCTATATTCATCAAGCTCAATGGTAATGAGATGCAACAGGTTTGCTTTTTTGGGAGGACAAAACAAAAGAGAAAAATCTTATAAATGGAATTCTTTGCTGAAGCCAAAATAACCTTTCTGGCCCCAATTAATGAGCCATCCAGACAAATCAGTCTTCAGAGAGAATAGAGCTTTACTTAATACCACCTGTCAAAAAGGGAGATTTGAACTGGGGCAGGCACACAACTGTAATCCTAGCACCCAGGAGACCAAGACAGGAAAGTTGAACAGTTCAAGGTCAATCTGGACTACAGACAGCAAGTTCTAAGCTAGTCTGGACTACACAGGGACGGATTCTTTAATTAAAAAAAAAAAGCAGAAAAGAGATCCAAAGAAATCCCTTTCTCAACTGTATTATTCTTGATAGAAGCTTCCTATCCACCTATATAAACTCGAAAGCAAAGATGTAGTGTAGTAACTGGGTACTAATGGAAGAGCAGGGAAAAATTAAAGGTCAAAGGTTAAGTAGCAATGATAAACCAGTATTAAACACATGAAAAGTAAGTTGAAACTAAGAGCATGATAGTCATGGCTACTGAAATCACATGCAAATGGGAGGGGTGGATGGTTAAGAGATCAGATCTCTTTTCTTTAATAAAAAAGTGTTTTATTTTTATTGAGTTTGTGCAAATACATAAAATTGTATAAATGTGTAGAAGCTACTAAAGAGGACAAAACACTGTACAAGAGTCCTTGCATATTTTCTCTCAATTTCTGTTGTTGTTCAGAAGACTTTAAAACTCCTGGCATTACCAGTACCCTGAACAATCTGCCACTGCCAGTTAAACACTGCAAGTTCCTGCTCTGGGGCATCGGTCCTGCTGCCATGAAGTAGCAGGGCAGAACACATAAATGAGTTCACATAAATAGCTACACATGCTGCCATGATGAGGGACAGGAAACAGATCCACTCGCACTCCCTGATGACTATTCTCAGACCTTCACATCACAGGACATGGACACTGGCACTGTGGCTCCATGGTCCCTATTCTTTCAAAACTGTTTCTACATCTGCTGACTCTTAATGACTCAACAAAGAATGACAAGGTTAAAAACACTCATCTCTCACCAGTACCTTTCTACTTTCTGAACACCATGTTTCCTTGTTCCTCATGCAGGAGGCAGCTGAGAGCAGCTGGCTCCCTGTCCTCCACTGAAATTCTTTGTGGTGTATATGGCCTCCTACCCTTTCCTTAGCTGTACATTTGCAAATGTTGTACCATTTGTTGTCCTCCCTTTGGGGGCCATAAAGAGAAAAACTCTTAATGGCTTAGGTTTAGTGCAGTTTTCTGGAGCTCTTTGTGGGCAAAACTTTTGCCAACAGTATACACGTTTAATTATCCCAACCTTCCTTCATGAGATTGCCTGGCAGACAATAGCTACCAAATTGTATTAATTTTAGAGAAAAGAGGCTGTGTGACCAGGATACAAGCACTGGTTACAGTGTACATCTGTCAATCTCTTCTCACACTGTGTTGCTGAGACAGGAGGATGTCAAAGCAAGGCTGACAGTTACCAGGTAGTTTATAAGTACTGTTATAAAATAAAGTCAGTTTATCCCATCAGGATTAAAAAATACCATGAATAAAAGAATGTTACTCAGGTAGCTGAGAAACTAAATGAACTGTTTATCTTGCACATGAAGATATTAGGAGTCAACTACTCAGCACATTTTTCTGCTATGGGACAATGAATGTTTTTTTTTTTTATCCTGTCACTTGTATTATTTTTAATAAAATGCTGATTGACCAGAAGCCAGGCAAGGAGTATAGGTGAACAGGATGAGAACAGGAGAATTCTGGGAAGAGGAAAGATTAGTCTATAGTCGTCACCCAGCCGCAGAGGAAGCAAGATGAGAATCCCTCACAGGCAAAGGTACCAAGCCATGTGGCTAACACAGACAAGAATAATGGGTTAGCCGGGTGGTGGTGGCGCACGCCTTTAATCCCAGCACTTGGGAGGCATAGGCAGGCGGATCTCTGTGAGTTCGAGACCAGCCTGGTCTACAGAGCTAGTTCCAGGACAGGCTCCAAAACCACAGAGAAATCCTGTCTTGAAAAACCAAAAAAAAAAAAGAATAATGGGTTAATGTAAGGTGTAAGAATTAGTTAATAAAAAGCTAATAGGCCAACCAGCTTATAATTAATATAGTAGACCTCTGTGTATTTCTGGCTGCAGGACCAGGTAGGACAGATGGGCAGTATTGGGACTAATCAACTGATCACCGTGTGCTTTCTATCTAAAACATTTGGAGAACATGGCACATTTTAAATGTCAGTTAACTTCACCTGAGATTTCATTAGTATTTTTACATTATTTATTTGTTAACGATTACAAAAAAATTAATTACAAAGAGATTCTAGCAATCCCTAGGGAAACCTGCAGCATGGTACTAATTTTTGAAGCCCAGACTCTTGCTCACAGCTGTAAAGAAAGAGATGCACCTCAGTATTTCTAGTAGCAAGACTTACCTTAATCACTAGCTAGCACAGGTTCATGGAGCACACAGCCCTGAATACACTCAAGCTTAGTTTTAAGCAGTAAGTTGTGATTACCCACTTCTGATAGAAGATGTAGGCTCGTAAGGGGCACAGCTATCATTTGCTATGCCATCACAAATATAGAACATGGTCAGAATTGTGATGGCTCCTTCAGACTCTGTACAGAAGATCTCTAAGGTCCCTGATCGAGGTATGCCAAATGTTAATGAAGATCAAGTATGATAACAAAATAACCAACGACAATAATACTGTCATAACTTCAAATACTGACTCGTGGAACTCAGCAATCTCAACAGACTTTAGGATGCCCTGCCATTTTCTTCTCTAAGACAGTAATCCTGGAACAGGTGTAACTGTTGATCAGTTTATGATCAACAAGGTTCCACTGCAAAGCTAACTATACTCTGCTAAGAAAGGCATTTGGCTTTTCTTTTGTTTATTGTCTCTAAAATACATAATATATGGTAAGTCCACACTCAAGAAACAAGCTGCTTTAAATTAGTATTAGAAATAAAGTGGAAAATTGCTTTTTAAAATCCAACAAATGTTTAAAAGGGTGCTCCATAAAACCATCCTAAATTATACACAAATTAACCCCCCCCCCCTTTTTTTTGCAAACTTTATTTTTATATGGCAGTCAAAACTTTTGGCACTGAGTCAAGTTGTTTTCAAAGATCATGAAGACTTGGATACTTGCCTTCATTGCTCTTCCTCAAGCACATCCATGGGGTACAGGTATTCTTTTAGAAAAAGCTGCAAAACAAGCATAAGAATAGAAGTTAAACTTAACTTGGAGCTCACTTGTTACAGACACACAGGGAAAGGTTAAACATATTTTTAAAAAATGTTAAACAGAAATATTATGGTCAAGAAAGAAGATATACTGGGAAAAACATTAAAATTATCAGCACTGAAAAAGGGGAGTAGGTGATGGAGAGATGGCTCAGCAGTTAAGAGCACTGGCAGCTCTCCCAAAGGTCCCAAGTTCAATTCCCAGCAACCACATGGTGTCTCACAACCATCTCTAGCAAGATCTGAAGCCTTTTTCTGACTTAAAAGCATACATGCAGATGAAGCATTCATATACATAAAATAAATCTAAAGAAAAAGAAGAAAAAGAGAGCATGTCAAGCGTAGTGGTACATGCCTTTATTCTTAGCACTCCAGAAGCAGAGATAGTCAATTTCCAGCTAATTTGGTTTACATACCAAGTCCCAAGCTAGGCAGAGCCACATAATGAGATTTTGTCAGGAGTGGGTTGGGGGTGTCAAAGGGTTACAATAAATATTTTAGCATGATTTCACTGAACAACAACCAGAAACTGTATCAATATAGTCTTGAACTAATATGAAATTTAAAAAGATGCACAGGAAATCACCACAATTTCATAAGCTTTTTTTTTTCAAGTACCTCTGTTTGCAAATGCTTGCAAGCTTTCATTCTAAGGCAATTGTAAAGCCAGGCATAGTAGCCTAACAAGTAAGATCCCAGCACTTAGGAAGATCAAAAACCTAGGTTTCCTGGGGACACCTAGTAAACTCCAGGTCATCCTGGGCTACACGGTGAAATTCTATCTCAAAAAAATGGGAGTGGAGAGAAAGGAAGGAAAAAAAACAAAGGGAATTTTAAAAATCTGTTTACTATGTACAACTGAGAAACAAAATGAATCAGAAATGAAAATTTTTTGGAAAATTAGCTTCTAACAGCCAACACCAGAGACACGATTTAATTAGAGAAGTGTCATAGGAATATCTGTTATGTACTCAGCATTATAGAGACTAAATACAAATTTACTTTCAGGGAACTCACCTAGGATAGAAAACAAGATTTGTATAGTTAAAAGCTAAAACAGTACAAAGCATCAACTGAGAGCTAAACTAGGAACATAAGAAACAGTTCAGTTGGTAAAACATAAGACCTCAGTTTAATCACCAAAA